GCAGGAATGAAACTCTTTGATGGCAGGTTCGAATATGCAGTATATGTTACTTTTGAATAATGGCAATGATGAGGTTGCTCTGTGTTAGTTGCAATAATCATGGATTTTTGTCAATAATCATACTTAATATTGGGAGGGAGACTGGGCCGAATTTGACATTTTGCCATAGAAGGGTGGCTGGCAAGGTGTTTTATTGTTTGTTTGTTCACCTCTGCCCTCCCCAGTGCTATAAGGAGATAGAGGAGGATTTGTCAAAGCTACTGAAAAGCATAAAGGAAGAGCTTCAGAGTTGTTTAAGTTGCTTTTGCAGAGGATGGTAAAAATTTTAATAAGTCATCACGAAGCAGGTATATTCCATGTTGAAAAGTGCTTAGGAGATGCACACTGTTTAAAGTAGGTGCCCCGTCAGAAGGTTCTCCGGACAATTATTAAGTTCTAATGTCATAAGTTCTTAGGCGTATCAAGGGAGGAAGAAAACCCAGCAATTGTTCTGCCAGTTTGTGAAGGCAATGAGAAGTATCCAGATGGTGTGGAAGCTCTTTGGGATTGCTTCTGCTGAATATGTGCACTACAGAAGGCCAAATAAATTATGGTACTTGTGGAAACATAAACATGGGGTTTTCTAGTCACTGGTCTAATCCTGAGAATACATACTGGGCCATCTACCAAAATTTATTCGTTCAGTATCATGTCTCCAAAAGCGTGCAAGTGGAGTAACAGGGTCAGCATAATGTGGTACTTTCCCCAAAATACTTTCCTGGCTTCCGGTTTTTAGTTCAGAGATTTCCTCAAAGGTGGAGTCTTCATGTTAAATAGCTGGGGTTAACTTGTCCAGTTGCTTTGAGTGTGTGTGTGTATTGGTAGCTTCTAGCAGCAAGAAATTCTGCAGGTTAACTGTGTGTTATAAGGAGAATTGTTGCCTTTTGTTTGTTGCAACCTGTTACACAGCAGTGCCACTTATTGCTGGCTAACTCTTGTGTCAGGAGTGAAGGAGTAAGCAGTCCTAGTTTACCTTCTCTCCGTGCTATCTTCAGCCTTCTGGGGTTTGCAGGCATAGCCCTTCAAAAGCAGAGGGATTTTCATTTAAATGATGTGTAATGGGATTAAATGCATGTCTAAAATTGTATGTTAAAATTGTTAGAACTTAAATTTGCTCATCAGTTTTTCTGTGCAACAGTACAAAATACAAAAATCGTGGGAGAATGCTGCGTTTGTGCTTGCATAAAACTGCAGTGCGTGTTGAGATGGGGAGGGTTGAGCGTGACTTTATGCAGAATTGCTGTTTGGCTAATTTTTGCCAGTCTTGTTAATTTGAATTTGATAATGCACAAATAGTACTTATAAGAAGGCCAACGATCCTGTCATGTTATTTTCCTTTCCTAGCTGCGACAATTAGTTAATATGTGCATCAACCCGGATCCAGAGAAGAGACCAGACATAACCTATGTCTATGATGTAGCGAAACGTATGCATGCACACACTGCGAGCAGCTAAACAGACAGCAGATCATGAAGAAAAGAGCAGAAATAACCAAGTACTTTAAATAAATCATCCCACCTCTTTGTTTGTGTTACACAAATGTAATTATTTGAAGCTCACTGTTGTGCTTTGATTTGTAAACCAATTTATATACAAGCTTTGTTTTTTTCTGTTGAATTCAATTTTTTTTTTATTTTTTACTAACTTGCAGTTAAACAACAGGTTTAAACATGTAAAGAGTAATTTTAAAAGATATCAAGAGCCACTGTTTTCCATGTTAAGTGGGTTCAAGATGATTTTCTTTAATAATAAAATTGTATTCAGTCGGGCCTCAGTTCTAAAACACAGTTGCGCTTTTGCACATGATACAGATATTAGGCTTATCCAGAAGCAAAATGTCTGAATCTCACACCTTTTTAGTAATTTATGGAAGGTATGAATCAGCACAGTTGACTTTATTTTAAACTTTGTTCTAAGAGGAACATGATTACTATAGAGGGTTATTGTATTTTATATTAAATTGTAGTTCGCAGTTCTCAAGTGTGGTCAGGCGTTAGGATTAGTTCTCTGCTTGCCAAATATGATGGGAAAATAGTTTCAGGAAAAATTGTCATGCTGGCATTTTTGTAACATCCCTTTGTTTTGTTCTGTCATAATGTACATAAAACATTTGTTGGAGGTTTTCTGGGAAAATTTAAGGTGTTGATTCTGCAGTCTGATCGTTTTCAATAGGCTTGTGCAGCACTGCCCTGGGGCAATAGGAGTCTGCATAGTTAAGTCTTAAAATCATGCAGATGCTTCTTGTAGCAAATAGAATCTTCTGAGGCTAGCATTTATGAGAAGGTCTGATTAAAAGACATGATCTTTTACAACTTCCCAGCTGTTTATATATATGTCACTGTTTGTAGATTGTTGTGTTTAAAATAATATGAATGACCTTACAGTATATTTAATTTTTTTTTTCTTAAATACAGAAATATTTTGGAAAAAAATATCATACTCTAGTAGTATAACAAAATATATTCTTCATGAATATCTGGTTTTGTATACTGTAACCTGAGAATTAGTTTCATATTTAGCAGAAGTAAATTTTAGCTTTTATGTTGAAGAGAAAGTTGCCACTTCTTTATTTGGGAAATAAATATCTATGCAAAATGTTTTATAAATTCTTTATTAGTTGAAAAGGAAATTCAGAATATTTTTGTTAGACCTTAATACCTTCTTGGATATGCTTAAATACTATTTTTATTGTTAAGGAAGGAAGGTGCCTTGTTTTTAATTGTGGTAGAAATGGAGAATGGACTGAAATTTCTTGAGTTTCAAGACTGAGCTTTTTATACAGAACTCTTAAGATATAGTTATTATCAGTGGTATTGCTAAGAAGCTGCTACAGTCAGTTAAGGATTTTTTCTTATGTGGGAAAAAGAAGTTAGTTCAAATAAAAGCAGCATTATATACATACACATATAGGTTATATATGCAGTCAGTCCCTGCATGCTCAGTTTTGTTTTGTTTTTTCTTTCTCTGTGCAGCTTTAGTTTTTGGTTTGATATACTGCTTAAAGAATAAAAATCCATCTGCAGGGTTTGTGGATGAAATGTTGAAGCTAGGTATAGTTTTTTTCTGGTTTTGTATTTTTTAAAACTACAAATACTATGGCAACTGTGTTTGGCAAAATACAGGAGTTCTTAAATAGTATGTGCCAGATCATCAGCTTATCTTAATACTTTTTAAAAAAAATTATTTCTGTTTCCAGATTGTGTAGAACAAATCTTTAGGGTTTTCTTCTAGCTTCTGTGTGTACTTAATCTTGTAGGACTTCAGTGGAACAACTTGTAGGGAGGAAGTACTTGAGAAACCTTGGTTTGTGTCTAGCAGCCTCTAGATGTGTTTTCATCTATTATCTGATTATTGACTTTTAAAAATTATGGTTATATTCTCTAACAATATTTCATATGTCATAGAATGAAATGGTCTATATTGGAAAAGATAGGACAATACCTGCTTGACTGACAGGATTAGCTCTTAATACGCACAAGTACTCGAACAATTTTTGTTTCTTTTTCTGAAATATACAACATTGAAAAATCATTGGAAAAAACCCCAAACCCAACACAGTCAGGCTATTTGCATTAATATTGTGCATGAAGTATTGACCTTTCCCTAAAAGAAATCAATAATAGATTTTTATTATTATTACTGTTCCTGTCTTGAAAGATACATTGAGTAAAAAAATAGAGTCAAGATTTAACAAATGTGCATACTTAAGCATTTAAATGTCGTTGTTGGTTTTTAGTATTTATGATTAAATCTTGAGCTGAGAAAAAGAAGTAGTTGTTCCTATTTTCAAATCTGTAAAGGGAATGGTACAGATGACTCTGGTACCAAACTTTATAATTAAGAAGCCTGTATAGGTTACTAGAATTCCTTGTTTAACTGGGGATTGTAGAATCTATCCCTTAAGTAAAGCACCTGGTAATATATGAGAGTAAGTCTGTTATAACACTCCCGTGTGTGTGATACACTTATATTTTTTTGTATAAAACACCATTCTCTTTTTCATATGTTGTTGATGATGACATTTACACTATTTATTTTAAGCTATGGCATTACGTGTTTATTTTCTTCAAAGAGAATGTGTTACATTTCTAACCAAAATGTCTGACTAGCTCCTCCTTTTATTTCAGTAATGCTACAGTATTAACTTGCTTCATGAGTGAACTTTGTGCTTTGAATGACATTGCATAAAATCTTTGTCTTGTCTTGAAAGCTCCCCTGCTGTGCAGTAGTCTAATAGAAATAAAACGTACAGATATTAAATATAATGTAAAAATATAGTATTTCTATGATATTTTCAACCTTTTCTTGTTTTATATATATATATATGTCAAAGTATATACTACCTATCTTGTAAACAGTTTACTGCTTCCAGTAGTTGATTATAGGTGAGTTTCCTTGACTGTAACGAAAGACAATATATTCAAAAAATCTTGTTCATATTATTTGCAAAAAGTTTATCTGAAGTACTACATCAAATATAGTCACAGTTAGCCCAAAAGAGTGTTATCATCTTAATTTTAAAAACAAATCTAAAATTATTTTCAAAACACACAAAAATATCTAAAAACCATGAGAATAACAAAGAACTCCTGTTATGGCCCCAGTCCTGTGAGCTCTTGTTTATAGGTAGGCTGTTTTTTATGTAACTTCAGTAATTTTGAGTGAACTTTATATACGCACATGAATAAACAGTAATCAGTAGGGTGTGCAGAAATGATGTGCCAGCTCACTTTTTATACTTGCTGTATGTCAGTGGTTTGGTAGCAGGCAATAATGGGATTTTCTTCCCCTCTTCTGTTGCACTGTAATGATCCAGCTACCAATGGTACAAGCAGGCAACAGAAGTATGTTGTCTTTTTGTAATGAACAGAAACTTTAAAACATGCCAATATAGCGGAAGATGAATTATAGTAGTAGAAGCATCTGAGAAAGCCACAAAGTGAAATTCTTGACAGAGACTTGGAAAGAAGAACTTCTTACACCAGTGGTTCTCAGATGCCTCTGAATGGGACCTAAAATCACTGTGATGTTTGTTTTCAACAATCTGTCCGTGTAATCTCTTGTCTTTGCTGCTGTAAAGTGAGGTGAGAATCTTAATGGCTGAATTTGAATGCTAGTGGTGAATGCTGCATCAGGTATTTAAGCTTCTAGGAGCAGAAGCTTGATGTGAAGGAGAGTCAATGAAGACCTTCATTGTGGAGAGCTAATTGAATCTGGAAGTAAAAGTGCTGGATAGCAGAGTTCAAATCACTGCTTTTCTATCATTTCTAATATTCTTTAACAGTCAAAAGTTTTTCCAAGCCTGCCATATCCCCATATCATCGAGCCAGTGGCAGTTCTGGTCTTCTGAATTTCTGATCTCTGGTTTGGTCTGGGTGAAGAACTAAACATTTCTGGCTAGAAATCCCAAGGAGGGAAATACAGGTGCTGGGCAGGCCCAGTGAGGTGTTACTTATGTTTCCAAACTCAAATGTAAATTTTTAAGGTTCTTTTTCAAACTTTACTCCCTTCCCTGAATTCATTTTATTTATTTTTTTTTCAGTTGATGCTTTTAGAATATTATTTCCCTTTCATAGTCAGTTCTGAAGTTCTGTAATTCCTGTCTGCTGCTCCTGGTTCATCTGTCCTGTTGTCTGTCTGCTCTGTCCTCTTCCTGATTTGAAGTCCTCTGTATCTAGTTTTCCTACTGATCATTAGTTTGCTACTTTCTTTGTGGCTTTGCTAAACTCAACTCATTTGTGTTTTCTCATATTTTATCCCTCACCATGGGCAATACCTGTTTCCCCCCAAGCCCCAATAACTACTTAACTCCATTGTTCTTCATTCTGTTTTTCCAGTCTGATGCCTTTGATTTCTAGTTTTAGACAGATTTTTCTTACTGCTTCAATCATTCCCATGACCTTGTCTTTACTAAATACTGTTCACTTTATTATCTCTCATTTCTAAATTCCCTTCCTCTGATCACTACCTGCTCTCTTTCAGCTTATCTGTCTTTCTCTCTCCTCTACCCTGTCACTCACTCCTTCTGGGATCTCCCGTCTATTAACCTTTCTGACTCCTTCACTCTTCTCAGCTGCCTCCTTCCTTCATTGGGCTCACTTCCTTTGACTCATTGGTCTTTATTTTCATCTCTATCTGCTTCTCTATACATGGTTTCTTTGGTGGTGTCTCACATTGCCCTGTCTCCGTTCCTCTCCCCAGACATTTTTTCTTGTAACTTCTTAATTTCCATTCCTGCCTTTCCAAATATCTCTGAAGAGTATGTCAGCACAACACAGCTTTGGACTCAGCTTTGCCTTACCTGTTCTAATTCTCTTTCCAAATGGACTTTTTAACCATTTTTATCCCCCTTTTTTCTCTTATTGAGCTTGCTTGCAGATTTGCTGTTCATTTTAGTTCCCTATTCATTTTTGATACAAAATGGATCTTCAAAACCAAACCTGATTTTTTGCATGCTAGGTCCTT